TTCTGTTTGGTATAAATGATAATGTAAAATTTTTAATATATGAGAGATTCCTAAATCATTTACAGGCTCGAATTTTTTTGGTTGCTTTTTACAAGTCTTTTCTCTGTTTTGTTTGTTATTTTCTTCTTGCCATTTTCGGTCTTAGTAAGGTTCGTATCTCTAAATTTTGACTAGTATACATCGTCAATATTTTGAAAGCTCAAAGCCTCAAACAAATAATAAAATAGAAAATCTATTAAACTATTTACTCAAGTTCGTTTTTATATATATTTTTATTGTCAACTGATATATTGTTTTAATTTACCTACCAAATTATACATCAGAGAAGCAAAACAAATTCTTAATTGGTTTAGTACGTGCGAAAACAACTATCTCTTTGGGCTCATAATGGGCCAAATAATACTGTTTAGAAATTTCAATAACCGGGTCGGGTCATAAGATCCGAATTTACAAGGCATTCAAATTCCACTCTATTATTCCTCTGTTCAGCAAAAACCTAAAATTGTTGGAATCAAACATTCACCATTAACCTGAGTTTGAAGATTCAAGACACTCGGATCTTTCAGAATGGGCAAACCAAGCAAAGGTTTCAGATTTTTCGTTTTTGTTTCTGGATTTGATTAGCTGACCCCAAGCTTATGACGTTTTTTCAAAGTGAGAGTTTGGAGAGAAAAGCCGCCGTGGATTTGGCTTGAGATAAGGAGACTCCAATTGAGTGTTTGGCTAGCCTCACCGGACTATCTTGAACGGCGGAGGCAGAGTGACGTGAAGCACACGTCAGGGTAAAGAGTGGCGTTGCAGCTTGTTCTGATGAATCTAGGTCGTTGGTTGGTGTTGTGTTAGGTCGTGGAGGGATTTGACGGCTGAGATTGATCGGAAAATGAAGAGAAAGGTGGTCATATGACTTTGGCTTACCATTTTTTTTCACAGTTTTTTTAGCTTCTTGATTTTTTTGTTAGTTGGTTCTTCGTTAGATAGTGGAGTGATTTGCGGGTTCGGGGTCTATGTAAGCCTTAAAGGGGTGAGGATTTGATTTACGATTTTACCCATTCTTGTTATATGGATTTACTAGAGTTGCAAAGGAACACAATCTTCCAACACTTTTTCCTCCTTCCACCAAGCCCCTGTACTAGGTGTGTTTGAAAGAAAACGACAATTCATCATCAGGTTGTTTCCATTGTGAATGAATTCCGAGCTATACACTATAATAAATAAATGTGTTCATTCACAATCATCTAGTAACGCACCAAGCATTACAAAAGTTGCTAACACACTATTCTCATACTTTTTAGAGTGAAGGCGGCCTAGAGGGGAAGCCACCCAAACCAAGGATTGGGACATCCAAATTAATGGGACATATTTTAAAAAAAAATTTATTAGTATTGATAAATAAATAAAATTTGTAGGTTCTTTTGTTAAAATATTACTTATTAGGCATTTTTAGTTAGAATAAGATTTGTTGGACTTTTCAGTAATATTTATAAATTTGTTAAAATTAAATATATTAGTAAATTTCTATTTTTCATGATAGTTAAAAGCCTAATTAAAAATTAGAAACAAAGCAGTTTTTTCTTTTGTTCCAATTTGTTCCGTCGTCTTGCAGGCTTGCAGCACTTTTATTTTCTTTTGTCCTCTTGCTCTTGATTACATAATTTAGTTCTATTGCTTCAGTTATTTCAATTCATCCTTTACGTAGTAAGAAGGTACGTTTCTTAGTTCGTCGTTTTTAATTGTGATAAAAGCTTGATGCCTTGAGTCTTTGACTTTGT